GCCCCTAGAGGACAGAGTGGAACTGCCCCACAGGGTTTCCAAGGCTGTCAGTCTTCACAGAAGCAAAGCCCAAACCACACCCACTGCCTTGGAGTCGATTCTGACTCACAGCGCTCCCAGAGGACAGAGTGGAACCGCCGCATCAGGTTTCAAGGCTGTCAGTCTTTATGGATACAGATTGCCACCTCTTTCTCCCACAGAGCTGCTAGGGTGTTTGAACCGTTGACCTCTCGGTTAGCAGCTGGGCACTTAATCACTGTGCCACCAGGGCTGCTTTTTCTATGTTAAAGTATGTTCGTTTACACAGACCTGCAGAGAGCAGCCATTTTCCTAAAGCCAATGCTAGCTGGACTGTACCCTGTACGTGATCGGCCTGCTCTCAGCTTCTGATAGCTCCTTTAAGGCTTTATCTCCTCTATCAGCTCTTTATAATAGTGCTCAACTATACATACATATAGGAGCTCTGGTAGCATAGTGCCTAAGGCATGTGACTGCTAACCAGAAGGCTGGTGGTTCAGGCCCACCAGCCACTCCTCGGAAGGAAGGCTGGGCAATTTACTTCCACAGTGATACCGCCTCAGAAACCCAAGGAGGGGTCGCTATGAGTTGCATCCAACTCGACGGCACATAACAACAACATACATACATACATACATACATACATATACATATAATATACATATACATGTATATGCTGAGGAGGTTGTTAGGTGCCATCAAGTCGGCTTGGACTCATAGTGACCTTGTCTGTGCACAACAGAATAAAACACTGCCTGGTCCTGTGCCAGCTCCACGATCCCTGCTGTGCCTGAGCCCATCGTTGAAGCCACTGCGTCAGTCCATCTCCTTGAGGGCCCTCCCCTTTTTCGCTGACCCTCCACTTTATCAAGCATGACGTCCCTCTCCAGAGAATGGTCCCTTCTGACAACATGACCAAAGTAAGTGAGACAAAAGTATCATGGACTGCCAGAAGAACTAACAAATACACCTATCTATCTATCTATATACACAGGAGCTCTGATAGCATAGTGCCTAAGGCACTTGACT